TCACTCTCACTCACTCTCACTCACTCTCACTCACTCACTCACTCTCACTCACTCACTCTCATCTCACTCACTCACTCACTCTCACTCACTCTCACTCACTCACTCCTCACTCACTCTCATCTCACTCTCACTCACTCTCACTCACTCTCACTCACTCTCACTCACTCTCACTCACTCTCACTCACTCTCACTCACTCTCACTCACTCTCACTCACTCTCACTCACTCTCACTCACTCTCACTCACTCTCACTCACTCTCACTCACTCTCACTCACTCTCACTCACTCTCACTCACTCTCTCTCTCTCTCACTCTCTCTCTCACTCTCACTCACTGCCTGTCCCTCACTCTCTGCCTGTCCCTCACTCTCTGCCTGTCCCTCACTCTCTGCCTGTCCCTCACTCTCTGCCTGTCCCTCACTCTCTGCCTGTCCCTCACTCTCTGCCTGTCCCCCTCTCTCTGCCTGTCCCCCTCTCTCTGCCTGTCCCCCTCTCTCTGCCTGTCTTCCTCTCTCTGTCCGTCTGTCTCGTCCATCTCCGTCCGTCTCCGTCAGTCTCAGTCCGTCTCCGTCAGTCTCAGTCCGTCTCCGTCAGTCTCAGTCCGAACGAATTTGTTCCCATAAGGAATATTGTGAATTAGATTAGTCCATTTCAGACCCCCAAACATACACGTACAAACGCACTTACATAAATACACTTACATAATTGGTCGCATTGGGAGGTGATCGTAAAGCGGGGGTCCACTGTATTTTAGTTTGTTGTTGGTCCTCAACTTGTATATGTTATAAGAATTTAGCACGGAAATATCAAGATGGAAAAAAAACTTTCATATACCACTTATAACTCTTGCGTACACAGTCACCAAACCCAATCTGTATGTCACATTTGTCCACTAAGTACATAATGAGGTTGTAGTCCATGACACCTGCAGGTTTTAGAATGGGTTCATTGGTCTCTCTATTGTGCCTGCCAGTGTGTACCATTTCATTTCGGTGAACTGATGTCAACAATGTGACATCACGTTTGTCATGTCACAAAATGCCATGATGTCATTCGCAGCAAAGGCCTGCACCTCACCTCTGCGAGTGCCAGCGTCAAACCTTGGCATATGTTTACGATTATCACGCACTGTGCCACACACATCTGTCAGGTTCACTCGCAAGAAATCACCGAGTATGGAGCTTGTGTACCAGTTATCAGTATATAATATATGCCCTATACCAAGATATGGTTCCATTATTGTTCTAACCACATCACCAGAGATACCCAATAACTTCCTGGTATCTCAATTTATTACTGCCAGTGTACACAATATCCAAAACGAGACCACATTTGCAATCACACTGTACAAATAATTTTATACCAAAAGCATTTCCTCTTGCTCGGTATGTATTGCTTGAATGAGGGTCTTCTTTCGTATAAAATCAAAGACTCGTCAATAACAAGCTTCCTGAAGGGATACCAATATATGCAACACTTTTGTTTCAGGTACTTAAACATTTCTGATCTTATATAACCTGTTGCTTCTGTCAGGCCTTGTTTTGTCTGAAAAGTGTAACATACGTAACAGTATCAGAAAGCGATTCACACCTATAATGTCACTAAAACCTGGGGTTGAAATCAGGCATTCTGTTGCCCAGTATGTGGTGACAGTGTGCTTATACACATGTGGCATAAGCATTATTGTGGCAAAAAACGCATACATCTCTGCCACAGTTGTGTCCTTCCACTGGTGTAGCCGTGATCTTGGTGAGAGAATTGTATTTGCCATGGTGTACTCATAGTATGTGTTGGTTTCCTTGACAATAATGTCCATCAGGGGTTCATCGAAGAATAACTGAAAGCATTCCAGTTCAGTAGCATTGTTCCCAAGTGTACACGATGGCTGTATTCCACTTTGTGTTACATCAAAGTCATGGGGATTGGGAAGAAACTCGTCACCTTCCTGCCAATCCCAGAAGCGGTCTATTGGTGGGTTCTGGATATTGAAACGTAGTTGTGGTTGTGCAGGTTGTGTGAGTGTGGGGTTGGGTGAGGCTGGTGGTAGTTGTGCAGAGACAGCAGTGTCGGTAGTAGCGTGGCCCGCTGCTGGTGCCACGTGACTCATGTTACCATCACTATCACCGCCACCACCTGCTCCCTCACTCACATCATTCATACCCATCGTAATAATATTGTCATCCTCACTATCAGGTCGTGGTGTAGGGCCACGGGATGTGCTCCGAGATTTACTCCTTCCCCTTGGAACAGCATATGACACACTACCAGACCGCATGCTACGTCGTACATAGTGCCGCTTCACTAAGGAATATTCACCCTCACTGTCACAACTACAACTGCTTTCAATAGCATTGTGGCCAAGAAAAAGGAAATCAAGGAAGTTGTTGTTGCAAAGGGGGTAAATATGCTGACAAAAATGAGATCACCAGTACTCGGAGAGGTTGAGAAGCTATTATTGGTGTGGATAAACGAGAAACAATTAGCAGGAGATAGTCTTATGACGTCGATTATTAGTGAAAAGGCTAGGCAGTTGCATGATGATCTGGTAAAGAAATTGCCTGCAATGAGTACTGATATTTGTGAATTTAAGGCCAGCAAAGGTTGGTTTGAGAGATTTAAGAACCGTAGTGGCATACACAGTGTGATAACGCATGGTGAGGCTGCCAGTTCGGACAAAATTGCAGCTACAAAATTCGTAAGTGAATTCAAGGAGTACAGAGAGGCTGAAGGACTGAAACCTAAAGAAGTGTTCAACTGTGACGAAACAGGCCTCTTTTGGAAGAAAATGCCAAAGAAGACCTACATTACACAGGAGGAAAAGACACTGCCAGGACACAAGCCTATGAAAGACAGGCTGACGCTCATGTTCTGTGCTAATGCTAATGGGGATTTCAAAGTGAAGCCGTTACTAGTGCACCATTCTGAAAATCCCAGTATTAAAAAAAACGTTATGAAGAGTAAATTGTGTGTGTTTTGGAGATCTAATAATAAGGCATGGGTCACGAGGGAAATTTTCGTCGAGTGGTTCAATGAAGTGTTTGGCCCTAGTGTGAAGAATTACCTCCTAGAAAAGAAATTGGATCTCAAGTGCCTCCTAGTAATGGACAATGCACCTGCTCATCCTCCAAACTTGGATGACCTAATTTTTGAGGAGTTTGGGTTCATCACAGTAAAGTTCTTGCCCCCGAATACCACTCCTCTCCTCCAACCCATGGACCAGCAGGTCATTTCAAACTTTAAAAAACTACACCAAAGCAATGTTTCAAAGGTGCTTTAATGTGGCCTCAGACACTCACTTGACCCTAAGAGAGTTTTGGAAAGAACACTTCAGTATCTTCCATTGGGAGGGAGTGACTATCAGGACTTTGAACTCTGCTTGGAGAAAATTGTGGCCAGATTGTGCCCACAAGAGGGATTTTGAAGGGCTTGTGGCTGGCCCTGATGAGCCTATGTCAGTTGTGAACTCTGTTGTCACACTGGGGAGTTCCATGGGGTTGGATGTGAGTTTGGAGGATGTGGAAGAGTTGGTGGAGGACCACAACGAAGAGCTAACCACTGAGGAGCTGCAAGAGCTTCAGCAGGAACAGCAACAGATCGCAGCTCAGAATCTTGCTGCAGAGGAGAAAGAGAGATGGAAGAAGTTGCCTTCTTCAGAAATTAAGGAGATTTTTGAAATGTGGGGTAGGATGGAAAGATTTATGAAGAAGCATCATCCTGACAAGGATGTTGCAAGCCATATCGGCAACTTGTACAGTGACAGTCTTGGCCCATTTTAGGGAAGTTTTAAAGAGACGCCAGAAACAGAGCTCTCTGGACACTTTTTTTTGTGAGACAGGACTCCAGTGACTCTCAAGCTGGTCCTAGTGGCATTAAGAAACAGATTCGAGAAGTAACCCCAGAAAATGACTTGGTACCTAAGGTATTGATGGAAGGGGATTCCCCTTCTAAACAGTAACTAATCCAATCTCTCTCCTCCTCCAGTCTTCCATACACGAAGAAGAATCGCCAATAAAGGCAAGCGTTATGCTGTTAATGTTTCATTCATCATGTCCCATTGTATTGTTTATGTACTACATCTGTATTTCATGCAAAAAAATTTTTGTTTTAATACTTCTGGGTGTCAGCAACAGATTAATTGTATTTACATTATTTCTTATGAGGAAAATTGATTTGAAAATCGTCTTTTGTGATAATTGTCGCACTTCCAGGAACGGATTAACAACGATAAACGAAGGACCACTGTATATAAACTTAAAATAACAAAACTATACAAAACTATGTTCTTTTCTAAATACTGATTATGTGGCACACTGGCACCAAGGCCAATAACAGAACAGAGTAGAGGTTCAATAAATGGCACTTACAGTAGAGCAAGTGAAGACTATAATGAAATTTCCCTTATTACGTGCTTAGTGAGGTAAGTGCATTCTTAGAGGAAACAAAGTACAGTGGACCCCCGGTTTACGATCAGCTCCCAATGCGACCAATTATGTAAGTGTATTTATGTAAGTGCGTTTGTATGCGTATGTTTGGGGGTCTGAAATAGACTAATCTAATTCACAATATTCCTTATGGGAACAAATTCGGTCAGTACTGGCACCTGAACATACTTCTGGAATGAAATAATATCGTAAACCGGGGGTCCACTGTATTAAAAAAATGTAAATAGCACTCTACTAATGAACACTTGTACCTCACATTCAACTTACGAACATTTTCACACCCATGGAGCAGCATTTATAACACAATTACATTTGATATTACTTTTCATGGGCCTCATTTGTAAGATACGTTGTGTGTAGGATGGAGGCCATATGTTGACTTATATTTACTAGGAAGAGTTAAACTTTCAGTGACAGTACAATACCTGCAGTATTAATAAAGGTAAAGAAGTTTGAGCCTAGGAAGGAGGAGGACACTCCAATTCCTTGGCTGAAGAGCCCCTCATGAGAGACAGACAGACACTAGTTTGCAGGCATTAGTGTGAGGCAAAGTTACTCACTTTTCAACAACTGATTGGTTGTATAATGTTCCTTCTGGTGTTTGATATATAGCATAGTCCTCATCTGTCACTTGCACCAGCTTGGGGTTGTTCAATCGACTATAAATAAACTCCATGACAGGAGGCAATATGACTCGACCAGCTATACGACACAGACCAGAGAAGATCTGCAGGAATAAACAACCAAACATTAATAAGTTCAATTAATCTCTCTTAAAATTAAATGCAGAACATAACATTAATAAAGAGAAGCTGATATTTATCTTTAATTATGCAAAGTTGTGAAGAACACTTAACCAATCATACATGTTCCACTTAACAAGATTAAGATAAACCAAGACAACTTGCTATTATCACAACACCCAAGATTAATACACATTACACAGTTAGGATAAAGCAAGGTAACTTGTTATCACAGCACATAACATTATTATTATTATTATTATTATTATTTTATTTTATTTTATTATCACACTGGCCGATTCCCACCAAGGCAGGGTGGCCCGAAAAAGAAAAACTTTCACCATCATTCACTCCATCACTGTCTTGCCAGAAGGGTGCTTTACACTACAGTTTTTAAACTGCAACATTAACACCCCTCCTTCAGAGTGCAGGCACTGTACTTCCC